TTGCTGTATGTGCAGCCATCAAAATTTCATGACAAACCTTACCTTTGTCGTTTGAGTTTCCTTTTTTCTTCGTAGGGGTACAGACAATTTTCTTCTGAAAAGAAAAATTATGCCATGCGCATTTTTTTCTGTAAGTACCACTTACAAGAATAATAATATCACGAACTGATAAATAAATGGATACTTGGTGGGCAGAAGAGTTTCAGTGGCCAACTGTACATTGTGGCTTTAATGTAGAAGGAACACGGTTTTATTATTATTAAACTTTTATATATGTAAAATAAGTGTTAAGCAAATCAATCTTTCAAGTGATCTTCACCCGTGTAAAATTGCCAATTGAAGTCGAAAGTTATACTAGGATCTGCCCATTTCTTTTTTATCAGCCTGGATGTTATAGTCGGATCATTTTAGTTTCCTTTGAGAACATATCCCACGCCTCGTTGATCGATCTAGGAATGGGAACCTAGTCCTAGAGGGAGGAAGGGGTACTACTTCCATGTATAAGCTGTGCTCGTCCAGTTAGTAACAGTTAGAGTGAGGGATACTGTGTCCTTGCATGTATAAAATAGACACTGTCATATTAGTGGAACTGAAGTGTCATTGTTTGTGCTATTGTTCTATGAGGAGAAGTGACAGGTGTGTTTAGACTTACTAATTAATGTGATTATTGAGGTATGAATTGTATACTTTCCTTGCGTATTGGTTTTGGTAGGTGGATAAAGAATTTCGAATCAGGAACGTGCAGTTTGGGGCTGAAAAATCAATAATTTAAATTGACTTAATTGTCCAAAATAACTGTTACTCACAGTAATGTTGATAATTATATATTGAACTGTGTAAGTCTATAGGTTCTGGCAAATGTAATCTCAATGGCCGATTGGTAAACTTAAAAACATTTTTATGGATTATTTATTATAATCATTTGTATGTAAAATAAGTAGTCTGTGGATAAAAAAATTGAAGTTATCTTCTCTTGGGTAACCATCGCTTAATGAAGTTCAAATTAATCGAAATACGAGGCTCTTATTTACAAAATAGATGCTTGCTAAATGTATGCAAATAACATTTACTGGTGAAAAAAGTCTTCACCCATTTTGTACAAATAATACCTCTTCTGAATTTTGCTTAAATCTTTTTTGACCAAGATGTCGGCATTTAACGGCACATTGCATGCTTTTTTTACAGCGTGCCTTAACAGTCGTTTTACGTTAATACTCGATCCCCTTTGAATAGAATTTGTCTGTTATCATATATAAATAATGTTTTTGTCACACAGCATACCCAAACGTATGCACACGAACTATCGAGTTATGCAAAATCTCAAGCACATCTGTATACCAATGGCCAAGGATTTCATGTTGGTTGTGATTTCCTTTGTCTCTTGCTGATAACATATGACCCCCGCTATGTTGTTTCTGATACTATTAAGGTGGTACTTGACTCCTAGATTCTTCATCATTGTCCAGATTTTGCTTACGTTTCTTCTGTACTTTGGGATATAATTCTCTTCTTCCAATATATATATATATATATATATATATATATATATATATATATATATATATATATATATATATATATATATATCATTTGTAATTTATGTAATGTTACAAAATTTGGAACACACGTCAGACATAAAAAACATGTTTTGCTACAGCAAGACGGACGCATACTCAAATTAATCATCCTCTATAAATAATATTACCTAGCTGTGGCATGCTGCACCAAAATTACGTGTCAAATATCAGAGAAATCACCTTGACCCTTAACAAAGGTATTTTCAGCAAAACAATAAAAAAGAGAACCTGCAGGTATCACAGGGTGGAAGGTTGTATCCTTTAACATATACTTTGCACTTGCAATTAATCCCTTCACAAACTAGCCGAATTGACACATTTGTCTTTTTTTGGGGGTCATATACAGCTTAACAGAATAGTTTCCACATGGTTTTTCTGTGCCGAAATAAATAATTTAACACTTAAGCATATCATTTCATTGGGACTAATGTTCCGAGGTTTGGGAATAGGCTGTAGGACCATCATTACTTGAAAACGAGGTCCTTAGTTCCTAAGATTTACGTGTATAAATGTATTCTATGTATATGTCACAGGCCCAGGCCAAATCTAGTCCTATGCCTAAGAAGCCCAGATCCCACCTTAATTAAGGCCTGACCGGGCCCAGTCTTAATGTCTGCATTTTAACAGCAAAATGGGCAATTTAATTGACCAAGTTAATTGACCAAGCTACCAGTGTGTTTGTATGACATGTGTAGGGGATGTCTTAGATCAAGGCACACATTATGATACTTACAGGTGTGGCAAATGAGATGTAGTTGTATTTCATTAAGTGTAATTTGTAAAATACATCTGAGGATGATATATATTAAAGATGCTTAATGTTCAAAGAAAAAGTGTATAGATTGATTTAGTAACATTCAGAAATGTAAAATTAAAGGTGGGCTGCTAAATGTTAGTGTATTATTTTAATTAGATTTAATTTAATTTAATTATCTAAGTTTTGTACAGATTATAGGGAATGTCTGCGCAATAATATTATGTTAACCTTTTTGGAAAAAAAAAATATATGCATGTTCTTAAGGATCAGCCTAATCTCAGTCAATGCAACTTGTTGTCTACCTGAGTTTTTAGATTTGGCCTGGGCCTGTGACATATACATTCCGACTGGATGGCTAACATGCATATTATATTATATTATATTATATTATATTATATTATAATATATTATATTATATTATATTATATTATATCAGGTACTTCAAGCGATCCTTATCAGCGCCTCGGCACAAAGTGGAGGTTTAAAGCCAGGGGTCAGGCTCGTTGACCCAGCGAGCGTGACCTTGTACTCGTGCGACACAGGGGACATTTATGACAGTAGCACGTGGGTTCTTGTATATCCAGACGGAACGGGGCAAGTTGAAGTGAACAACACCATAAGTAGCAGACAGGCAGGAGGTTTGATGCACAAAATTAACGCCGTACAGGAAGTTGGTGAGTTACCTTTGTAAGCCTCATGGGGGCATTTAACGCATTTTAAATAATTTTGGCTGAATCATAGGCGACATCATAATTCTGTGATAAATAAGTCATGCACAAATCAAGAAGTAAGAGTTGAAAGAATGAAATAATTTTGAAAACTCTTCTAATGTCATCTATTTTAAAAAGAGTTAAAAAGAGTGAAAGAAAAAGTAAAAAAAAACAAACGAAAAACATATTTTAGTTTTAGGTATTAACTCCGCCAATTAGGTTTTGTTTTCACATTTGTATGTCTATCTGTTTGTTTCTCCCCAGCCTAACTGAAAAAGTAATGAATTTTGATGAAGTTTCCACAGTAGGTCATATTTTGTGTAGCTTAAAAATATATGTCCCATGGTATAATTATTATTCAACTAAATATTATTAGTTATCAAATAAAATTGTTTGTCTGTAAGTAATATTGTTCAAAAGGTTCTAGAGGGATTGTAACTAAATTTTCAGGAAATGTCAGAAATGAGCAGTATTTGGGTGCTGATTGAGCAGTTATTAATTAAAAAGATTTAGTTTGTGGATGAGTTAAACAATTTATAGTTAATTAATCAAATGATACGCTGTGATTATTAATGATAATGGGGATTTAGTTCATAGATTAGTAAATGAAACTTACTTATAATAATGAGAATTAAGTAACCTTGGCTGAGGTCTGCGCTCTTTGATTGTTTTTCTAGCGTTGTATATTAAATGTTTCTGTTTTCAGGCACCTACCTTTTTATGTTAGCCTCTGCAGCGGAACTGGAGGACATCTTTGAATACATGAACGAATCCCAAGAAACACAAACTATAGAGAGAGTAACGAGACCTGAGGCAGAAGAATTTATACCAGATCCAAACCTTGTAGAATCTCTGATCAACTATACATTTTCAAATGATAACTTTACTCTCAGTGGATCAGCTGTCAATGTGACAGAGTCCCCTGAACTGAGCGGAACTGTTCCAGGTGTTGGAGCACACAACTTTGTACCGGAAGGAGAAAATGTGCTTGTTTTTACAGGTAACATACTTCGTGCAATATGCATTTGATAGTTTACCGAAAACTAAACGTTGTTAAGATATCAACAAACAGTAACTGTTTATAATGTTAAATTCCCGTATTCTCAGAAAGTTCTATTTAATGAGCTCACTATTTATTCATATGTGTCGCTTTATATTTCAGGGTTATGAAAAGAAAAAGGAACATCGCCTTCAAATGTACCATGAAATTCTGTTTATATTTGCTGAATATTATTACATAAATACAGTTGTTTTACCAAAAACCTTTAAAATATGGTTTTCTGGAGGCCTTCCATTTATCTGGGGATTGAAAGCAATGTGATATTTTGTAACTATTGGGGCTTAATTAAATAAACTACATTTAAAAGCAAAGCTTGTTTAATATTTCTAGGACAGAACGTGTGGAAGTGCGCTGGCCACAGGTACAGTGACAGTGAGGGCAATGAGCACGTAATGTACTATCTCGTGATGCCAAGTGACCAGAGCCAAAATGCTACTGAGGGTGACATCTTGGTGGGCTCTGAAAGCAGAGGATTTCTGGAAACTGTGACCCACATCGACCGAACAGGAGGAAAGTACTTTGTGCATTCCGATCTACTGTTTTGTGGAGACCTGGAGGAAATGCAATAGAGCTAATGTGAGGTTTTATTTTGTTTCGAACTGTGGAATAAGGTTGTAATACATTTCACATGTTCTCATTTTCCAGATGAAGTCTGACTTTTAGCAAGCCAAATATTTCTTGGTAAATCTCTGTTAATTTTGCTATAGCTTATGATACTTGAAAATTGAAAACATATAGGCAATAGAACTGTTCACTTACAGCATAAGATGTTTTATTCAAAATTGCCAAATCAGTTTGAGTAAGTCTACCGATTTATGTCTTGAGAAAAGGAAAACATTCACATATTATCAAGTACTGAATGAGTTTAAATTTGGTCCAATCTTTATTTGATTAATATATATACAACAGTAGATGGCTACTTTAAATTCAAACGGAAAAGAAACATACGGTTTTGTTTTAGTGTCACTGATATCGACATGCCAGAATCTGCAATGTTTTGTCAAGGTGGTGACGGGATACCAGGACTTCACGTAAATAACCAATCAGCTGCTGTCAATAATGGTGACGTCATTGCCGGGCGGCGATCTGGCGCATTTGCTGCAAAGGTATATAAATCGTATTAATAAATTAATTTTTGCTTAATTTGTTTTGCAAAAAAAATTTCTTTGTGCCAAATATGTGCATACATGTACATGTTTTCAAGTATTTTATATTCTACGTTCCATTTCTAAGTACATCATTCTAAGATATGGAAACGTTTTTCAGGCAATCAGATGCAACACATCGGGTATTTATACCGTTTGTGAAGTGACGCCTATTTTGGAAATTGCCAGCAATGAAATCATATTAGCCAGCTCTAATCTTCCAACAGCAAAGGGTAACCGAGTCAAAAGAGGGACATACACGTTCACACCCGCTGATTTTACTAAAATGTTTTCAGCCACCCTGGGGCAAATCAAGGTGAAAAGCCTATACATGTACTAAAACTACAGCATGTAATTAAATATTGTTTGGAAAGCGTGTACATTTTTAAACAGTTATAGAGGTTGAATTATTAAGTCAGCATTATTATTCGTCCAATTATTATTCTTGAACACAATTTGTAAAAGTAGCTTCATCATGTAAATTTTTAAAGAAGTTCGTTTATAGCCAATAATTGTTTTACAAACGTTTCAGTTTCCCTGTGGGAAGTTTACTGCGACTGCCGCAGCGACGTTTAAGGCATCATTGACTACCAGTCTGACTACGAAGTGCTCTGCTCCTTTTATCAAAAAGGTCCGTGCAGCAATCTCTGCCTCTTTGACGTTAACTTTAACGCTGAGACTTGACATCGAATGCAGGTAAGAGACTATCAAATTTGGCACTAAAGGACAACAGCTGGCGATATGTACACGGGTGTTCACTATCATAGCGCTGGCTCATCTCTACAAGAATCGTGTGACGAAAGGCAATCATCACATTACTGAGCTGCGTTGTATCAAGTAAATTTTACTGTGAAACTATTTGCAATTGAGCTCTCCGCATGACGAAGTCGGAGCTGCTTAGGGTTGGATTCGTCAGTCGGTATCTTTCCTTCGAATACTGGTTCGGTACCTACAGGCCGTAGAGCGCACGTGCACTTTTTGTTGTGAATCCCATAATCAAGACATTATCTCAACACACGTCATCGTCTAACCCTCCTCACAATATTGACATCAATTAAAAAAAATTAGAAAGCTTTTATTCCGTATACCAAGGAGTATAGCAACGGTTGTGTTGGTGGTGTTGAACACTCACTGAGTTTATGCTAGTACACGCTGGTTATTTCATCGGATTTTAGCCGAAGAAGAAATTTTAATCATTGTGTCAATCAATTGGCAAAAATTGCATTCAGACCATGATCAGCGGGTAATCATGGCTCATCTGAACAAGAGAAATGTACACTTATACCTCTTATTATTAACATTTTTTACGATAATAACTCTTAAAAAGAATAAATAACAAGTTAGTTCTATAAACAAGCTTGTCTTGCTATTTCAGTTATACATTATCGGGCCCTGACAACCCGAAGTATAACCATCCAATCGACAACAAAGTCATCGTCCCATTCTGTATACCTATTTTTTGGGGTATATGCATTCCTGCTGCCGTTGTTGCCGATTTGACCGTGGGATACACGTTCACTGCTCAGGTAAGTTGTTTGAGGAAGAGAACTTTTATGTCTATCCGTATGTTAGTATATCATTTATTTTTTCTTGTTTAACCCCCACTTTACCGTTTAACACTTTTGGTTGTTATTGCCTTAACGCAGAACTTGGAGAGTATACTGTTCTTGGTTCAAAACTCGTTTTCAGGCCAAAGGATTTGTGTCACTTACATTGGAACGCACGGGCAATCTCAGCGCCTCTGCCCAGTGGGATGACTCTAGTGACATCTCTTTCTCTGGTCCGACAGTAAGTTATGATTTAACAGTGTTAATGTAGACTGCATAGGTACTATTGCTCAAAGGGTTGTCCCACCTTCATGCAATCCCATGTACTTTTATTGTAAACAAATTAGCACTTGACAGCTGTAAAGCATTTTGAAATAATGTTTGTTATTACAAGTACATATACCATAGCTGATATGACTCAAGGTAAGACAAACAAAAGACCCTTTAAGAAAGTAAAAAAGAAATATTCCCATCACCAAGATTATGTTCAATTATCTGAGTGACATATGGGTGTTTTTTTTACCTATTCATCTTACTCCATGTCGAGTAAGGGATAAATTTCATTTAGCCATGAACATGTGTGCAAGGATTGAACGAAAACATAAACCTGCACATACTTTGAAGTAATTCATTACGTCAGTTTTAGCAAAACTATAATATCGCAAGAATTTCATGACATAAACTCAGTTTATGAACTGTAAAACATTGATAAAGTTGATAAATTAGGGTGTATGTAACCACTGAAACGTACCATACAAGGATGATTTTTGTAGTGTTCTTACAAATCTCGTGTTACCTTCCCAAGTTTTCGTTGACCCCGATGACCAAAAACTTCAATGGTGGGTTGGAGAAAGACGAGACGTTTGTCCGAGCACAACTTACGATAACCCCAGCGTTGAAAGTACATGTTCCAAACATGGCTATAATTGAGCGCATCATACGCGACGCATCTCGGTGGATTAGATGGTGGTTGAAAGATCTGTTTGGGGAAGGAGCATCAATAAGTAAGTTATTTTGGGGGATTTTTGTTTTAAGTATCTGTGAGTCAATTAATTGAATTTGTGACTGTATTTTTCATTTTGCAAATAAAAAAAAAAAAATGCCCACATATAATGTGTTTGCTAAGATGCTAGAAATACAAAAAATAATGGTAAATTAACATATAGTTAAGAATGTGCAGTGCTACATTAGTTTTGGTTAAAATATGCTAACTACCACCTTTGCACATTTGATATTTATATTTTAAATATTACATTTATATACAGACTTGACATTTAATGCGGAATATTTTTTTCCAAATCATTTTTATCAGTTTTTTTTTCCTGTTTTGCTGACTGATAAATGAAAAATAAGGATTAAAATCGTGTTTTAATAACTTTTAATTATCTCTTTGATTCCATTGTGACATCGGTTCATTAATTGAATTCGCCAGTAAAGCAAACAAAAATACAGTGCCTATTCTATGTCATACAACAACCATTAAAAGCGATATTTTGGATCTCCATATTATCGTCTGTAAGAGTTACACGCCCCACAAAGGACCCTCATGACAGTGTTTAGTCATAGCAACGGTTGCTGTTACGCCTGAGATTTTCTGGCTACTACCAGGGCTCTCAAACGACAAGGTATTCTTTGGGATAGGTTTTTAGAGTTCAATCTGGAATAAAATTCTAGGCATTGGTCAAAACCTGTCCAATTTGGTCCAGTTGTGTTGTAGGACATGTAGGCCGTTGATTCGGCTGGTAATGGCCTACCTACATATTGTCTATGTGGTTCAAATATGGCGATTTTGATGACCAAGGTAGCTGCTCATCCCCTTGGTTCTGTAAGTTATCTGCCATTAAAAGTGCTCTCTGTGAACCGGTACTCTCACACTGCAACATTAAATTGTTCCTAATGTGCTCCCTATCAAATGATAGTCAAGTGGTTCCCAGATTATGCCCTTATTTGATCTGGTTCAGGTTTTCATCGATGACTACTATTGGTGTTTTGGCCCCAATGTGGTATCCATTCCAGATACTGACGCTGACAATGACCCTAGTCACTTTAGACTCGGCACACTCTTCGTCGTAGGCCTCTTCTGGATGTCTGTAAACTCTGTTTTGACTAGTTGAGCGGTACAGATGAAATCTGACCTCAATAAAGAAAGCCACGCGGTTTCAGTGTTTTACCATGCAGAAACGATCATGTTCCCAATTCAATAACGAATAATACGAGAATGTTTTGCCGTTTACAGTGGGTACCTTGGAGGTCGTCTGGTATTCTAACCTGCTAAAACAAGTTTGGTGTTCCCCGAGGGCCTTGAAAAACGCCTTTTGTTGGCAATTTACCCCTCAATCTGAACGGACTGGGTGGTTTTTGTTCAGTTGCAGTAGCATATCCAGAATAACAGTGAGTCTTGTGCCCCGGCGGTAAGATGTCGATACATTGGGCGGGGCCTCTGTGTAGGTACATCAGACTGGGCATATCTCTATAAAAATGTGCAGACCATTCCGTTTGACACAATCATCTGTCTGGCAATGTTTGTCTTTTTCTCGCCATTCTGGCACAGATTAACACTTTTGTAAAAGACTGCTTAACTCATTTTACGCACTGCAAAACCGACTGCTTGCATGCAAAATTTCAAATTATACGATGCATTATACCTTTGAAACTGAAATGTTCTATATTAAATGTCAAGTCTTTATATGTTACATTTTTAATTGATCTTCAGACTGAGGCACATACACTTGTGTGTTTTGCAAAATAATATAAAAAAAAGAACCCATCTCTTCGTTGTATCAGACTTAGATCCGATCCTTGAGTTCGTCCTATCAGCACCACTGATAGGCAGAGCAGAGGCCGTTGCATGCCCTAGTGACTGCGAGAATTACCCTAAGGAAAATATTAAAGTGGCAGCTCACGCGGGACTTCCCGAGAGTTACGACGGAGACCTGTACATCCGGGTACCATTGACAAATTAAGAAAAACATTGGAACCTGTTTAGCGTTGAGGGAAACCAATTTGACAAGAGGTAAGTTCGTGACATTTGATATTTGGAGTAGAAAAAATTTACATTCCGGGTAAAGGATGTGTACATCCGAGTACCTCGTACATTTTTTTGTAAAGACGTAAAAACTGTTTGAAATGAAAGGAAACCATTTTGATGGCAGGTGTGCACCAATGTCTGTTGGCAACTCATGGTTTTATCTTTTATAGTTGGAGATTCTAAGACGATCGTTGCTGTGATTCAGATAATTAAAAACATTTTTGGTGACTAATATTTGCAAAAACAGTATAGCTTTGGTATTTTCTGTTGCTTAGGAAGCAGAACTTACATTCTGGGAACCTATTTCTGCATTTCTTTATTTTATTTTTTTCATTCAGTAGCGTAAAATATCATTGTTTACAATTTAAATACTTTAGTAACTGCTTGACTTCAAATGTGCCGTTTTATATAGAAGATAATAGCCAATGGTTAATACATTGTCAGACACTACCAAAAACATGACTTCATTTGAATATTTTCTTCAGAAAGTATAATTCAAATTAAAACATTCGTATACTTTCTGCATATACCACATGTACCGGTACCTCGTTTGTCCCATAAGTTCGCCTTACAAACCATCTAACTTCAAGCATCGCTATATTATTTTTGTTACAGTAAGTGCCTGGAATGGAAGCCCTTTCCGCCATGTGTTGGGACGACGACACCAGCCATAACTACCACAATACTTGATGACACTCCTTATATGACAACTCCCTTATCACCCACTGCTATAACAAACGGTACCACACCCACTGCCATAGCAACCACTCCCACACCCAGTGATATAACAAACACTACCATACCCAGTGATATAACAAACACTACCACACCCACTGATATAACAAACACTACCACACCCACCGGTATCACAAACACCACCACACCCATGAATATAACAACCACTCCCACACCCACTGCTATAACAAATACTTCCACACCCAGTGATATAACAAACACTTCCGCACCCATTGATATAACAAACACTTCCGCACCCATTGATATAACAAACACATCCGCACCCATTGATATAACAAACACTTCTGCACCCATTGATATGACAAACACTACCACACCTGTCGATGGACCACCAAGCACGGCGTCATCAATACTCGAGGGTGACCCTCACTTGATTACTTTTGACGGGGCTTGGCTTACCTATAACGGGACTTGCCGTTATCTTTTAACAGGGCTGTGTCCCATTTACAAGGTAGGACTCCCTTCCTCTTCCTTCTAGTACTTTGCCACCTTCCGTTTCACTATCTTGCTCCTTCTATGTGTTTTGTATTATTATTTTATTTTAATATTCTTTTTTTTAATATTGACATCCCATTTTTTTTTGCTGTTCGGTGATTTATTTGCAGGATTTGCTGTCTGTTGATAACGAGACAAGAGCTGATATTGGAGAAACGTTTTTTTTTTTTTTTTTTTTGACGTTCTAAATATCACATAGTTTCCAGTTCATCCTCAAGGAGAAAAATAACATTGCGTACTTGTACACGTAGTATTTGCTTAAAGGGAAAGACCACCACCTCAGAACTTTTATATTTATTGTTGTTTTTTTTCTTTTTACTTTTAACTTTGACCCTGATGTGTCTAAAACGTTTTATTTTCGGCTTATGGTTGATAGTAGACGGGTGCCGTCAATGGTATTATTCAGATATTATCCAGTTTTGCTTTATGCATGTATGTATCACAGCGGGACGAATAATACAAATGTCATTGTTTTCGCTCACCCTTGTAAATATGAAACCTATATCCAGGAGAATCACCATAACGCATATTAACAATTAATTTAAGTGTTACTTTGTATTCGTTTACTTAGGATTCAGTATTGCATATTTTTCGATGGACAGAGCGGTGCCAGGAAAGTCAGTGACGTCACATGTCAATATTTACCTCGGGTGACGAAGGAGGCGCGCATAAATATGCCAAGATAACCAGTAATAATTTAACTCAAAACATATGGTTAAATCTAATTTGATGGCTTTTCCCTTTGAAGTGCACTCACTGTACAATCTTTACTAGGGTGACGTCGAATACTTCTCCCTGAGCGGAAGAAACATCCTGAGAGGCGAGGTGACGTATGTGGAAGATGTCCTGCTGACTGTATACGGACATCGACTTTACCTGTCACACGAGGGGGTAGTCACAGTAGGTTTTAAGTTTTAAGATACGTTTGTTCATTCTGCATAGCTGAGTTGCAAAAAAAGAAATATATATATATATATATATATATATATATATATATATATATATATATATATATATATATGTCAATGTGATTAAGTGGTACAAAAACATGGAAAGTAAGATAAATACTGTTAAGGCCAAAGAGATGCAACACATTCAGATTGCGTGTTTAAAGCACCACCGTTATTTTACAGATTGATGGAGAAGAAATAAATCTGCCTTACTGGAACGGTCATATAAATATAACAAAGACTGTACTCAAGTATGAACCGGTACTGCGTCTGGAGACGGACGCCTCGATAAACTTTACGCTTACAATCCGTCACCCAAGGAGGGATGGTAAACATCAACTGAGGATGCAGATCCCCTGGACATATCGAGGAAAACTGTGTGGCCTGGCTCAGAATTTTAATGGCGACCCTTCTGATGACTACCGCCTATGTGACGGACAGGATGTCAGCCATATTGCGCCTTATCAAGTACGGGACCAGAAAATAGCAGACAGCTGTCGTATTTGGGACGAGATAGATGGTCTAAGGTGAGAGTGGTAGATACTTTTTTTATATTTTTTCAGCCGTAGGGTAATTTTAACTAGATTTATGAATGCGGTGGGTTAGTATGAATAACCAGACTTAAAGCATCCCTGTTTATGTTTTAATATATACTGTCTGATACCCTCAGATAAAAAAGAGAAAAAGTTACGTGTTTATAAACTTTATCTTTCAGCCCCAATTGCAAGACGACTTAGGTAGTAGCAGTTGGATGTACCAAACTGGAGCCGTAGTCGGAGTTACCTGTACATCTTTTCAAAGATAAATCGCCAGTGTTTGACGCTCTGCTTTGTTATTTACCCAGGGTGATTTCCCAAAGATAAGACGGACAATTGAAACAAATTAGTTGTCGTCATTGCGATTATACTCCTTTATATACTATTGTATTGAACTGACAATTGCTGTGAATTAAAAAAACTGTAGCAAATATTTCAATTGATAATTTTTAGGATGGAGCAGTTGAATTTTCAAAATAATATTCTGTTGGTGAGTTAAATACTTTTTGTTCTGTTAATCACCTACATAAAAAGGCAACATTTCACGTCAGTATTGTCTTTGGTGAGCAAAAATGGATAGCTTTATATAACATAACTGAAATTTCAAAGTGGGATAGGTTTATATCATATAATTGAAATATCTAAGTGGGATAGGTCTATATTATATAACTGAAATATCAAAGTGGGAGAGCTTTATATCTTGTAACTGAAATATGGGACAAGTCTATATTAAATAACTAAAATGTTAAAGTGGGCTAGGTTTATATCCTATAAATTGAATATCAAGTGGTATAGGTCTGTATCGTATAACTGAAATATCAAAGTAGGATAGATAAATGAGTTGTCACCACAATATCAAAACGGAAAAGATATCTATGTTATAAGTAAATACCGATTTGGGATATGTTTGAAATGTTTCAAATAAATTGGTGATAGTTAGATGTTGTCTTCAATCTTTTTTAATTATTTTACTGACACCTAGCGTTACAAAATAAGGTGATTGGATAGAATGTTCAGCGTAAATATGCGAAGAATTCGTTTAATAAATTTTGCTCATGACCAAGTCACGATATTTATTTTGGGCCATAATTTAGAATTAAAGTCTGTCGTTAAACATTTAGACAGGGCACTACAAGATGTCACCAAGGTGGTTCTAGTGTCACAAACGTGGCACCTGACAGTAGTGTATTTAATCCGATATTGGCACAATTGATACCGTGCTGGTAACACTAACAGGGTATTTACTGCTGGTGGACACTGCACAGTACCTTGTGTTAATACCATCGCGTAGTTTCATACATACTCACAATGGATTATGTACAGTTATTATACTTAAAAATTTAATAGCTCTCAGGGACAAAGTTTTCCAAATGATTGTACAGCGTTCTGTTGTGATAGTAATCGTACTTCACACACAAATACATGGAAGTGTTTGTGTTGCGTTTAAGTTGATGTATCGATTGGGCTATATAAATGGACACATTTATGTTTTATGTTGGTAATTTTACGTATAAACACGTTTAAGCTCCCGTTTATTGCAAATAAATAAATAAATAATAATAATAATACAAAAAGAAAGAAAAATAATTAAGATGCCATTAAAATACGCGTGTCACGGTATATCTAAAATCTGCACTACGTACGCATTTCATTTTAACCATATACAGACTTGACATTTAATATGGAATATTTTTTTCCAAATCATAATTCATCAGTTTTTTTCCTATTTTTCAGACTGATAAATGAATATACGGATTAAAATCGTGTTTTAATATCTTTTGAAAATCTATCCGATGTCATTGTGACATCAGTTCATTAATTGAATTCGCCCGTGAAGCAAACAAAAATACATTGCCTATTTTAAGTCATACAACTATAGAACGCGATATTTTGAATCTTCGTTTTTCCAAATTATCGTCTTCAAAAGTGTTCCACGCCCCACAAAGGCCCCTTATGTTAGTTTCGGCGACTAATGACCTACCCACATTTTGTCTATGTGGTTCAAATATGGCGATTTTGATGACTAAGGTAGCTGTTCATTCCCTTGGTTCTGTAAGTTATCTGCTATTAAAAGTGCTCTGTGTGAACCGGCAATCTGATCGGGCAACCTAAAATTGTTCCTTAGGTGCCCCCTATCAGATGATGGTCAACTGGTTCCCAGATTATTCCTTTATTTGGTCTGGTTCAGGTTTCCATCAATGACTTCCATTGGTGTTTTGGCACCAATGTGGTATCCACTCCAAATATGGACGCTGTCAATGACCCTAGTCACTTCAGAAGCGGCACACGTCTTGTCGTAGGCCTCTTCAAGATGTATGTAAACTCTGTTTTGGCCAATTTAGCGGTAGAGGTGAAATCTGACCTCAATAAAGAAAACACCGCGGTTTCAATGTCCTACCCGGAAAATGTCATGGTCCCCAAATCATTATAGAAACAGACTACGCTGTTTTGCTGTTTACAGTGACTTCCTCAGAGGTGGCCTGGTATTCTAACCTGCTAAAACCAGTTTGGTGTTCGCTAAGAGCCTTGAAAAACGCGTTTTGGTGACAATTTGCCATGTTGGGGAAAGTGGATTACATGTAGAAGCTATAGCTTTGGGCAAATTCTGGGAAAGCTGAGGGAAACACAACTAAAGATATTATTTAACCAAATAAGTAGAAATTTCGGTGTAACTAGCTGTTATCCTCTGTTGAGATATTGTCCATTTACTAAAGTAATAGGTTAATCGCCCATAAAATGTGCAACACCTACTTGAAAACTGATTTGTGAAAATACCTTGGCATTTACATAATTGCTGAATGTGGTGTCACAACTGGACCAAAAGGAGTCCTGTTCCACTTTTTATGGTCATTTGGATCTTAATGTAACTAAAGGAGGGGTTTTTGATAATTCATCTAAACTGAGCTCTGTTTTCAAACGAAAAAAAGATTAAAGATTGATATAAGTCAGATTATGAAGTAGAATTTTTACTTTCAAAGGGTTTTAGTGGCCATATTAGAATTTTCAGACATGTCCCTATATAAAAAAAAATTGCTTAGAGTCCTGTTCTCTACAATTGTGCCAATTTTCATGCTGGTAGTTTTAAATGCATGATGAATTCACCATACTGCTGCTGTGAGTGGTCTGTTTTCTAATTTTTGGAGGTCATTTTGGATTTCTATACACCTAAAGAAGCAAATATTGATACTTCATGCATACCATAGTTTTGTTTAACCATAAAATGTTATCTTAAGCTATTATAGGATTATATACTTGAAGTTTTAATTTGAACGGGTATGTGTGGCGGCCATATTGGATTTGGGGCCATATATTGGAATTTTTAGACATGCCCATATATCCAAAAGTGCCTGGAATCCATTTTTACAACTGTGCCAAATGCCATGCTTGTAGTTTTTGATGAATTCACCACTATGCTGGATATCTTGGATTAGTAGAGTGCTTTTTATTATTGGCGGCCATTTTGGATTTAATGCACCTAAAGAAGCAGATATGGATGCTGAATTCATACTGTGGTGTTTTCAACCTTTATATGATATTTAAGCCCTATATACTTGAAGATTTAATTAGAAGCTGTATTTTTTTAGGCCATCTTGGATTTGGTGGCCATTTTTAAATTTTTGGACAGGCCCATACATCCAAACTTGCTCAGAATTTCATTTTCCACAAATGTGCCAAACTTTTTGCTTGTAATTTTAAGTGCATGATTAATTCACCATTCTAATGGATATCTTGAATAAATGGTCTGCTTTTTTACTTTTGGTGGCCATTTTGGATTTTATACACCTGAAGGATTTATACCATGGTGTTTTCTAACCTTTATATGATATTTTAAGTTATTAGAAGACTATGTACTGGAAGTTTTAATTTGAAAAGGCATTTTGGCGGCCATCTTGGATTTGACGGCCATTTTGGAATTTTCAGACATGCCCATATATCCAAATTTGCTTAGAATTTTATTGTCCATAAGTGTGCCAAATTTCATGCTTGTAGGTAAAAAATGCACAATTTTTCACCAAATTCCTGGACTATATCATCGACACCACACTGCTGCTAGCAGCATGCAGATACTAGCTCAATCCCGCGTGAGCTTTCCTAAGGGACGACGCTGCCCTACACCTTTAAATACTAGTCCAGATAATAATAGTACACTGGTCTGCTGGGGACACTATCTAGTACCTTGTATTAATACCACCACGTAGTTTCATACACACCTACAATGGATTATGTGCAGTAATCATATTTGTTATTTCATAGCACTAAGGGGTAAATTAATCCAAATCTTACTTAAGAGTGAATGGTTGTACATCGTTCTGCTCCACTATATAACTGAAACTGTTGGTAATTTTACATATAAGCACGTTCAAGTTCCCATTTATTGCTAAAAAATAATAATAATTAAAATACCATTAAAATACGCGTGCCACGATATATCTAAAACCTGCACTACAGACGATATGCATCAAAGCTGTTTCTCTGAAGTGTAATAGAGGCAATTCAGCTTGACAAGTAAACCATGTGCTGCTTCTCTGCAGTTCAGAGGTAGCAAAGCACTGTAAAACGTTCATCTCCAGTGCTTCACTGAAGAAGATTCGAAATTATTTAGCATACTTTAAATGTGCTTCAACCAAGAAGATGCATCTGTGACGCCTTGCTGCAGTCATGGTAAAACCTGCTTCATTGTATTTACGTTTCGCACAACCTAACGCATTATACTTCATCTATACTATAAATACACTTCACACCACGATGCTATGAGCACGATGCTATGAAGGCCTTGGCGTCAAAATCAAAATCTTGAAGATTATTAATATTTTAAAGCTACATGGTTACCACTTAATATGGAATATTATTTTTTGGCGAGTAAATTTTCTACAAAATATTTAATTTCTCTCTAACTACTTCAAATCCAAAGCTGAGGTGTCACTCTATGTGTAGCCAGGTGTGTTACCTTATTACCACACAACTATCGAAACAATTGATGCATGCAGTTGCATGTTCTGTGGTCAGAAATGTGAGGGGTGGTCATTTCGGCAATTTCTGCCCTTGTATAAAAACGCATGGGTTTAGTCAATCTTAGGAGTGTACTTAGAGAAGCAACAAAGGGATCGCTCTGAAACTTGCCAGGTACCTTAGAGAAGATATGGTTCGACAGCTAAGCAACACAGCGTACTATGAGATTCTTGCTGTCAGAGAAAATGGCCAGAAACGGACAGCCATTGCCAGACAATTCAACATTTTTCAGGAACCGTTAGTAAAGTCCTCCAAAGAAATGCTACAATAGGGTCACCTACCCCAATACCTCGACCAGGGTGTCCGCGTATCACACCAAGAAGACAGGATCGCCTTCTCCTTAGAGTGCGCCGTGCTGGTCGTACAAAGACAACCAGTGTCCTCAGAAAAGAGTGGCAGAATGTCATTCAAACGCCCGTTTCAAGGTCCCTCGTGAATAAGAGATTACTGCAAACCGGTTATTTTGCAAGAAAACCAGTACGGAAATCACTGTTAACAGTAGGTCATATACAGCGACGTCTGCAATGGGCTGGGGACCACGTGCGTTTGCAGCCAAAACGCTGGAATCACGTTGGTTTTTCTAAGAAGCAACTTCAGCCAGGATTCCTACTGAGAAATTCTACGGCAAATGATGCTTCGATTGGTAAGAGCCATCTTCAGGAACAACTTTGTGTACCAAGACGACTACGCAATCCACATCGAGGCCGCAGAATCACTGTTTTTCTTCAAAACCAATGGGTTCAGCAACTGCCCTGGCCTGCAAACTCTCCAGATATGAACCCAATTGAAAATCGTTGGGCAAAAGTAACTCACAGAATTAATAGCTATGGTCATCGGCCGATAAATAGTGATGAACTGCGACAGGCAAATATCACTGCGTGGAATGATATTCCCATCCAACTCCAAAAAACGTGTTACAGGGTATGCCA